AAGCTAAAATAGTACAAAAATTGAGGTAAATTTTCTTAAATAATAAACTCATAGTTAGGAACCAGAGAAAATTTAAGTAGAATATTCTTTCTTAAAAAGTATGATAAATATATAAGACATCTAGTTTTGCTCTATTTTTCAAGTCAAAATCTTAAATGTTTAAATCTGTTTACACGCAATTTATTTGCTTCGTTTGTATGTTTCTTATTTTGTTACTCTGCTCCCAAAATTTTATCTTATTTCGGGGGTAATAAAACACACGTTTTTTCGTTTCCGAACATTTCCGAAACACCTTAACACGATAAACGAGAATAGGCGCACTTTTTCATTCAGTTCACGAAATAAGACTAGAAATACTCAGACGACCCTTTCTTTATTTTCCCAAGGGTCACCTTTAGCAACCTAAAGTAACTAACCTTATATGTGCCATTTTAGGGATTTTTGACAAGATTTGGTAAATTGCTTTTATGGCCCCAACCAAACAAAACGAAGATCTTTATAAAGTTAGTTGTATAATGCCACCTTAGAAATTCTATGGATATATTAACTATATTAAAAATATTTTATCCATTATCTTATCTTAAAATAAACAGTTTCTCAAGTAAAATATTTGTGTGAATGACATGATGAATGATAGTTTTTACTATACGATTTCATTAACTTATTACAGCCAAGGTCTAGAATAGTGGTAAAAGTAATAATTAAGAAGAAATCTCAGAAACGAAATGTATTGCATTTAATGTTGTTGAAATTTTTCTTTTATAATTTTTTTATCCTGTAGTTAGTTTCAGTTTAAGTTTAAAATAAAATAGGAATTTAAATCATCACACTGTAATATTCAAGAAGAAATATGTTCTCTTTTATTAATAAGGTTTGAAAGTTTATATAATAGTGAGGTCAAGAAAGGTTTAAAATTTAAGACCTTTCACATTTTAACTCAGGTTCTTAAAATATGTTTTTACATTTTGAATGAATGAGAATATTTGAATAGTTTTTCTTTTTAGATCTAGATACCCACTCTGCTTTTATAATACTTCGTATGTTGATTTAGAGCACAATATTAATTGACAAAATTTTAAGTCTGTATATTTTCGGTTTTATCCTCAAATTTTTCTAGTAACATAATTTATAAAATTTAATATTTCTACCACATGCTGACGCTGGCAGGTTGCACCTTGGAATATTTGTCTTTTTAAATATAAATAACGTCAACGCCATACATTTACTTGTATTTATTTATTTATTTATTTATTTGATCTACCAACATTTGTACACATCATCACATACTTAAAATACACAATACACATAACTTAAAACTAGGTGTGACAGACATTTACAGGTAGATACATAATGCTTAATATTCCTCCTAGCGCGAGCCGCAGTAAAAACAAAACCAATAAATTTTAATAAAAATATAAAAAAGAAATGAAATAATAAAAGGTAAACTTACAAAATAAAATAAAAAATGAAATACTAAATGAAAAAAATTAAATTAAAAACTAAAAACTAAAAATTATTAAAGGACGTTATTCTTTTAATGCCTTTATTATTTTTAAATTAATTGTTTGATGACAATATTATTTACACTTTGTTTATTTTTTTAATTGCTGTTTTAAGTCTATCTAGTTTTTGAAAATATATTGACAAATAACATATATCACTATATTTGTAGTTTCAAATTATCAGCTTTTTATTTAATGTATGTATATTATAATATTCAAAAATACACGAAAAATATAGTTTATTTTTATCTGTTTAACTGTCTGTTTCTTCTGAATGACCTCTGAAAAAACTCGACAAACTTTGAATTGACTTTCACGAGCGGATAGATGTATTTTATCGATGTATTAAGCAACTTCCATTTTAGAGAAGAAAATTATTATCGTGGATATTAATGATACAAATAACTATTCTGTGCCGAAAATGTCACGGCTATAACTAATTCTTAAAAACAGGTTATATAGGTTAAAGGTTATATACAAATTTGTAATTTTATTAATAATAATTAGATATGATTTAATTTGAGTCATTAATGATGTAGAAAATCTTTGTGATTTCCAAACAAATAATAAAGAGAAATCACTACATATGAATCAAACCAGTAAAAGAAATTCTAATAGAAATATTTCATACACTAAGTTTTTAACTTTGTTATTTAAACATACAACTAACAACAGACCTCAGGTCTTACTTTGCTTAGTTTGTTTTAAACACAGAAGTCTATTTAAAGGCCTGAATTTCATTTTACTACATAAATAAAACATTAATGAATATGATAAAAAATTTCGATTTTTAATATTTCTCGACCGTTCCACAGAAAATCTTTAATGTATTTACTGTCTGTTAGCTTCCGTATTTCTAACTTTTTATAAATATCTTCAAGAAAAACGTGCAAAGATTTTTTATTTCTTTTTATTTTTAACTGCCTTCCTTTTAAAATAAAGTTGTTGCTGTCGGAATTAAAGTCAATCTACATAAAAAACATGTTAGATGATATACTTAATATATTCTTATATAATTCTTTAAGTTTAATCAATAACAAATTGGTAAGTACAGATAAACAATTTATTTTTATTTATTAAAAAGAAATGTATATGATGTTATTAATTTAAAGCAGAGTTTCATCACTGTGAGTATAGTGTTAGGAATTAAAATATATTTAAAGTAAATTTTTTGGACATGTTATAATACTATCAATAATATTTAAATGAATTTCGAAAAAATATAAGAATATCTCAATGTTTATAAATAAGTATAAATATTTCTATTCAACAAAAGGACGTAAAGCAAAGTAAAATTGAATTTCAGATGATATAATAATCATTTTCAATCTACGAAATGAGAAAATGATTAGTTCCCCTTATCACAAAATAATTGCTTTAAAACCACTGAAATAAAGTGCCTTTCAGATATAGGGAACGAGATTGGAGATAAGGACCTTAGTATATATTGTGATATAAAATAAATGTGAAATGAGTAAATTCATGCAGCAACCCTTTATAAATACTGAGAAAAATGTTATCTTTGTAGATAAACGCAAGATACAAATTGAATTTTACATATTATTCACACTTTAAGCATTCTATATTTACTTTAATATAAGAATTTAAATTATGTTTTCAATTTTGGTAACAAATTGTTGTCTTTTTGTGTCATAAACCTAATTTATGTATATAATATATACGTATAAACAAAGACTATTCATTATTCGTTTTCATCATTTTTTAATATTCACATCTGCATTTAAATTTAATATCTTCTATTCTAATGAGTTTAGAATATATAATATGCTAATAATATCTACGAAAGGACTTAACAAATGATGGTTCATTGTAAAATCAGTAAAAATCAATTTTTACCAGAAACTTCCATTTCACGTTTATCAAATTATATGATTTAAACATGATTTGAACATAACTTGGAGGTACGATGAGTACAGTTGTCGCGATCGCAATAGCCCTTGAGTTAATGGCTCTTGTTTAAATATCTTGTCATCCCTACGTCACCAAATTACTGAATAGATAAGATTATCAACCATTTTACTATGCTTATATTATATACATATATAGGAGTATGCACGTAAACTTATGCACATATACAGATGTGTAAAAGTCTAAATTATTAAAAGAATATTTTTTTAAGTTTTTTAATTTAATTATGTCGAGATAAAGAGTACTGCTCTGAAATCTATAAAACTTTTTTCTATGCACTTTAATATTAACTGTTTCTACATATTATATAACTCAGATGTGGTACTATCTTTATCTGAGCAAGTCGCAGTGTGTACCTAATTATTTTAATTTTTCTAATTAACGTTGCGGAATTAACATTTGGAATCATGGACTACGGAATTTTATGAAAAGATATTGTAGAATTAGCTTACACATCTGATGCTGTCTTTCCAAAACTCACAACGTCAACACAGGGAGACTATCATTCACTAAAGAATCCATATAGTTCAGTGTTTGCAGTTTTACTTCCTAGGCGCTATTGAGAAAAATAATGAGAGTGAATTTTTATTATGAGCGCACACCGACAGCGACATCGTGAAGTTAGTTCTAGGTGGCATGTTAATCAATAATTATGTTCAAGTTGTATATTCTTGTATTTTTATATTTAGAACATGTGTTTCGTAACAGTATAATTAAAAAGTGTCAATAAATAAATATTATTTTGGTGTTTTTATTAAATCAATTTCACATACGACGGTAATAGTATTTACTAATAATTTATGTATATATATCTATTTACATACATATTGAATATCAGTGATAAAACTGTTTTGAGTGCGTTTATAGATTTGAGGATGATTGACGGTATGTATGATTTATTTACATTATTAATAAAAAATATATATAAACTTTAGTTAAGAGACTTCTGTGCCACTGATTAAATATTATAATGAAGATTTAAATCTATTTATTAATAATGACTCTTCAGTTTCAACAACACGGCATGGCACCACTACTGATGGTGTATTTACAAGATACTTATCTACAGTTTCAACGAGACCATTTACATCATATTTTAGCTACCAAAAACCACTTGTTATGTGCCTATTCAGTCACTCCGAGAAGAATTTACGAGTATAAAAACGTTTATTTGAAATATTTTTTAATATATTAGAATAATAACTTTAATGATTACCGGATGTATATTTTTACGTTAGTAAAATCTTTTTGATTAATTTTTATATTTATCGTTATTCACTATAGCCTTTTAATTATTTTTTTTCCATACGCCAAAGAAGTATAACTTCTAATGCGTGTACAAGTACACACACTCTTTTTAAATTAGTTTTAAATAAAGGAAACACAATATCATAACTAAGTTTCTTAACCCGCCATCACTCGCGCGGGGTGCTATCGGCACCCCACGCATTTTTGAACGTAAAAAAGAATAATAATTTCTTGAGTTATGTATCGGCTCGTCTCAGTACCTTCAAGTGACCTTTAAACGCATCGAAACGGACGGCGGGAGTAGCGTGGCGCGAGCGCTCGCTGTGGGAGGACGTCTCAAAGTTTGCGCGGGGTGGTCACGACACCCCGCGAGTGCTCGTGTCATACTTTTGCGGAGGATACTTTATCATCAAGGTATGTGATTTCAACTGTTTTGTAAACATAAATTATTAAGTTGTGTTTTTATTTACTATAAATGTATATTTATGTATTTCTAAGCATATACGAATATGTAATGGTTTTGGTTTTCACACACTTCTAATTAGGTACCTTTCTGTGTTCGTAGGTATGTAATATTTTTTCAATTATTTTTCTTTTCAGAGGAGCTGGGAACAGGAGCAAGCGAGAGTGGCAGCTTTGTTAGAAGAAATAATATCGGATAACGAAGATAATGTTGCAGTGGAAAGTGATGCCAGCTTGGATGAAGATTTTATTCAAGAATCTGATCATGATTCTTTATCTAAATGGCACAGAGTCAAGGGTCGTACTGCAATTAGAACCCGCGCTCACAATATAATTACTGAAGCTCCCCTTCCCAAAGGTAATGCCAAAACTTGTAAATCTCCACTTGAATGTTTACAACTCTTTATTACTGACGACATGATTGCAGAAATAACTAGTTGCACAAATATTTACATCAAAAAAATAAACAATGTAACATGAAAAGGCCTGAGTTTTTGGAATCATTGGGTTTGAGCATGCTTCAAGGTCACCTTGATAGAAGATTTTCACAACCAGGGTTACCGAAAGCACTCAAGAGGATGTTGAATGCTACTGGATCAAGCACCGAAGGAATGTCGCCAAAAAAAAGCAGCGCTGTATAGTTTGTCCACGTTCTAAGGACATCAAAACATTGAGTCACTGCAATTTTTGTAAAAAAAACCTTGTGTCAAAAACACATGAAGTTAATTTGCAGTTCTTGTTGCGAAAACTAAGAAATTTTTATTTAATTTTGTTATTTCATCCTTATATTTTGTTTTTCAATGAAAAAAAATATGTTAAAACGAAGAAATTTTTTGTTTTTCTTTCTTTTTTGCGAAATGATCTCAATATTATGACTAAAAAGGCTGATTATTATAATGTTTTGTAGAACAGTAATAAAGTTAATTATAAAATTTAGTTATGTTATTTACATACGTGATACTACACAAAATAATAAAAAACCGGTGTAATTTCATTAACTTCCACTATGTTTGTTTAAATGTACTTTGAGTATGTGGGGTGGCCACAACACCCCGCGAGTGCTCACGAGCTAAAAAACCGCGCGAGTGATGGAGGGTTAAATATATTGTCTCTGTCAGTTATTTTAGTCCATAAAGTCAGGAGAAATACGAGCAGAAGAGCTGAAGATTGAGGCCTTTGGCATGGTTCATCCAGACATTGCTTTATTACAACACTGTGTTATATAAGGTAAAATGCTTGCTCCATTTCATGACAAAGAAATATTTCCTGATATGGACCGATATTTCATCGAAAATTTCAAGTACACCAATGTCACATGCATCAGGGCTACTTAATTTCTACAATGAAGAAAGTTCCAAGCAAAATAATTGTATTTAGTGATATTCAAGAACAGCCATAACACTGATGAAATAGTAAAAAAAAGCAATAATGTTATCTTAAATGGATTAAGCAACTAACATTTACTCGGTTCGATCGAAACTATTTCATTACCGTATGATTGAAGAAAGCTAAACAGTTTTACTAAATTGTTTCATCTAATAATGTGTGCGTGTGTATCTGTGCGCGAGTGCTTGCATGCATGCATTATAGAGTACCTGTACATGTCAGTTACAGTCGAGTGTGCATAGCATAATTAAAGGCTACTTTTTTTAAAATAAAATGGTTGCAACTTGAAACGTTTGAGCAGATGTTCAAGTAAAAAAAATATTGGGTTAGGTAAAATATAAACTAAAAAGTATATTAACTAAAGCCAATTACCCAAAATGTTAATTTATTTAACAAATCAAATTTCATACCTAATTTCGTATAGAGAATATATTGCATAGTGATTGTACTGTTTTAAGTTTATAAAAAGTGTACGTCTGTCGTGTGTCAGTTGTTTTATTGCCTTTCAAAGAATATTTTTTTCCATTTATGTTTGTTTTTTTATTTAATAAATTTATGATATTTTTATAAGTGTAAGCGTACTGTAATATTAATATATTTTTTATGAATATTCGTAATAATTATATATATATTTTTTGCTTTCTTTAGCTATAAAAGCAATTTATATACTTACAATCGAAAGACGAATCATAATATTAAATTATAAAAGCGAAACCAACATATGTAACTAACATATGTGAAATAGGTTTCTATTAAAGAATCCTTCCATATATCTTTACTTTTATATATTGTAGTGATTAGCCTCTTCGTATTTTTCCAATTGCAATTCTGTAGGTAACTTTTACTTAATAGTAGCAAAGAAATAAAATGAACCTTTACAAGAATCCTTTTCTTAATTATTGTTTAATTATCTTTCACATTTTCATTTTCGAATAATTATTTTCTATAATGTGTCTGTAATGTTTACTCTACAAGACTTGGAATAAAATATTAAATGTTTTGTTTGTGAATACATAAGTCTTAAGTTTCCTGTTTATTGTCTTCTAATAGTAAATATTGCTATCCTATAATGTATGGCTGACCCAACTGTGATCAAATATTTACAGTGTTGCTATGAATCATACATAAATATATTTCTACATTATCTCTTGGTAACTTATTTGCAAACAATCACTAAATTTATGTTACTAATATTATCGTATTTAATAAATAAGAGTGGAAATTTAGTATAAATATATTTAAATCAACCACAAAATATTACGTATGCAAAATTTTCATTTCATTTGTTCGGAGGATACTCCTCCTGTAATAATATAAAATAATTTCTTACTTAAAGTACGTATTATATAATTATTTTTATGTTGTAGTGTTTCGTTTTCTTCCAATATCTTTTTATAAACTATTAAGTAAAAAGAAAACTCTTAGCAATATAGTAAGATTAATGCACCCTTTCCAATTTGTTTTAAATATTTTGTAATCATATAAAAACATTATATTTCACTAAAGTTATATAAAGGCCTTTAATATTCAATGTTAGAAGTCATTATAAGTGAAAATTAATATTATGCTCGCCTTTTGTGTACAATTTTGTTTTACAATTATGTACAACAATGTGTAACCGTTTCAAAAGAATCTATTTCTAGCCTCAATTCATACCCTAAATAACGCATCATCTGCGTATAAGTTTTCAGGTGAATGAAGTTAATTTTGACGGTACTATATTTTTGAATAGATCATTAATCAACCCAGATGAATCGTTACATTTATTTACTGCGGGGAAAATTAATGGGTTAAAAGTTAAGGCTTTCATCAAACACTGACACAAACGTAAACAATATGCACTTAATTTAAATCTTTGTACTACAGGGGGAGTAAAAAGTGAAATTCGTACAGATTTATATAACAAATTGGTAAATTTACTTTTTGTAAATAGATTATCACTGTATGTAAAATTGAAAAGCCTCTTCACTAGTCCATTGAACTTTAATTAAAATCTCTCACATACAAAATAAGATAATCGTGTTCTGCAATTATAAAGGATGTAAATGTTTAAAACAATATATTTATATTTTTTAAACTGGGACGTTGTCTGTTCACTGTTTTAATGTTATCGAAGTAGATTAAAGTTTTTTGTTACGAATATTTTTTAGCTCTTGATATTACACATTGATTTACAATTTATACATTAACAAGATAAAGTGTTTCATTCAGAAACATAGTAATATTTACATATATGAAAATGATTCTTTAAAAAAATATGAATGATTCTCTACCACTAGTTTTAATATAATTCTTTACAAGTGATTTTTATCAAATAGAATACTGTTTATGAACGCAAACAATGTAATATATGTATTAAATGTTTATATTTTCTTCGCCTACCAACTATTCTGAAATTTATTCACCTGTAAAATTTTGTTAATTTTGTCGTCGAGTTTCATTTCTGTTATTTTGGAATTTTTGGAAGATTGGCCAACTGAAAGAATAGATCTTTTCCATTCTTAGAAATGTTTTTTCTACGTAAAAAGCAAAAAATAAATAGTTTTTTTATAAAAGCAGCTTAAACCCGCTTTCTGCATCTTAATTAATCAAATCTTAAATAATTTTCATTCAAATCTTGGTATGTCTAAAATCTTCCGTTATTACAATAGAAAAAACTCTTAATTACTTTTACTCGTTTCTTTCAACTCATTAACATGTAAACTTCGTTTTCTAAAAACCTAGGCTAACTAAATATAAAATTTTAAAAAATAAATTACATATATTATATAATATACATACATGTTCGAAAAATTAAACATATCTTTTAGTCCTTGCTCTACATCTCAAATTAAATCTGGAAAATCAGATTTAATGAAAAATATTTCAAAATATACAATTGTAATAAAATTCATATCAATTAAGTATTATTACTATTTATTTTTAAATATATATGACTTTATACTGCATACACTATTATTATCCTACTGCTGAGAATATTGAAATGTCTGTATGCTTTATCCCAAAAGCCGTTTTGAGCAATAGATATAATAATGATTCAATCGATGGATTTATGAATATTGGAATCACATTTTGTCTGATCTGAATGATTGATTTCAATTGAGAAACACGTCTACTACTAAAAGAAAGTAATTTTAAATTTAACGTTGCCGTTTGGAAATTGAAAACATATTAATAAAGAACGTAACACACAAATAATTTAATTATTACACTTCAAGTGGAAATGGTTATTATTGTTATAAATTAGGTTAGTGTAAGTAAAGTATACAGGTAAGAATAATGTTATAAATGAAGGTGAAATAATAAATTTTAAAATGAGCTTCTAATTAAATTGGAACCGACGACCTTAGTCCGGAAAATATATTGTGTTTAGATATAAAATAAAGAGTGTCGTATAAATTACTTACCTTGTCTCAACAGCGACACTATCACTCTTCATTTAATTAAATTATTATTATGAAGTGTTTTTTTAAACCTTTTGAAATAACTTCAATTAAATCATTTGAAGATTGAAAATATTAAACCGTAATAAAGATACTTCTTCATTTTCTCCTAAAAAATCATAATATTTTATGAACTCCAGTTTGTTATCTTTTCATTTTTTCTTATAGAAACTAATAACGGCCTTTTCTTCCTTATTAAATGTTAGCGATGAATTGTTAGGATTTGCTTAAATTATTTACTACCCCCAAAAGTTTAATGCCACAAACAATTGTCCTTATACTTGTATTGTAATTATAAATATATTACGTATACGTATCTAGATAAAACTTAGAAATATACATTCTCGAGTTTTAGTGAGACTAACGAACAGCAATTAATTTGTATAGATATAGAGATATAGATAGATATGAAGGTCGCATGCTATAGCATTTACATTGTTTTATCATTCCTCCCAGCCACTATTGTAATAAATAAATCTTTTTAATTGATATTCGACTACTATTGCAAATTTAATCATAATAATAAATTGTTATTTAATATCTTGTTAACACAAAACAATTTAACACCTGAAAGGGTTTAGTTCTCAGACTGAATTCAATAACGACAACCTTTTATTGCTCCTTTTATTAAAAATATAAACGTGAAGAATAATTGAATTGGTCTTAGAATTAATTATCTTTCGCAATACAGCAGTTGGTAATTTAAAATATTAGTACTGTAATCAATAATGATCAATAATAATAAATGATCTGTAAGTTCTAGTACTACGTTAAACATTCTAATACAAAATATATAGGACGTAGTTAAAATT